GGGATGCCTGGAGGCGTTGGGGGTCAGTCTCCGGAGCCCTGCGTGATGAGCAGTTCAAAGGACTGGATTCCAGAAGTTTACCGTTGGAGATTCCAACAAAGGCGCCAAGGGGAGTTTGTCCACGGTGGACTCACAGATTGCATTTGGCCCTATTTCATCATTATGATCATCATCAGGGTTGGATTATAATTCTGAGAAGGATTTGAACTTCCATCGTTTTCTAAGTGGAAGTTGCAGCTTCTCAAGACTTCCAAGCTGTTACCTGCTTTGTTACCATCTTTGAGAAGATGTGGAATCTATCAAGGAAACCTGGTTTACTGATTATTCCCATTAACACAGAGCAGTGAAGTGGAACACATCTTCAGTGCTGGAAGTGGCCACCACACCACCAACCTCTCTCCCCTCAAAGACAAGAACAAAACATGCATATAACCTTAAAGTGAGTTAATTAAATTAATAGAATTTAAGTGATTTGATTATTTTTTTAATGTTTTTTTTTTTATTATTTTATTGCTCCTGCCCAGCTGCTTTAATAAAAACCTGCAATTAAAGTCTAAACTGTCGACATTCCCTTTTTGACCCTTTGTGGAACAATAAAGGTATAAATCTAAGTATTAATCTATATTAGTCCAAATAGCTCTGATTCGCTGCTCAAGCCTTTCCAAGTAATATTTTCCCTTGGGCCTGTTGTATGGGCCTCTAAAACCAACTCAGATTAACAAGTGCCACAAACGACACGGGAGCTGCAATAACAGGTGTTACTTATAAGATCTGACCTGCAAGGCTACTCTGGTTTGTTCATATCAGGCCAAGCAGGGAAGACACTTGGACGTCAAGGGAGTCAGGCTGAGCAAGTGGCCTCAGCCACATTGACTCCAGAAACCTGCACTATCTGGGTACGGATAACAGGATCAGGGATTAGATGTTTTAATGAGACAGCTGGAATCAACTTTCTGTATAGGGGTTTTGTGGGTCTACTGATCAATAGGGGATGACATTTAAAAGAGGAGTCAGTGTCAGGAAGTCCAAAAGGTACCACTTCTGTTTTTTCTCTCTTTTTTTTAAACTAATGGAGTATTAAGAGTTAAAAAGAGTATTGGACTTAAAAATGGATCCTTGGGGGATCCCACAAGTGAGGCGAGCAGGTGTTGAAGAAAACTCATTTAACCTGACAGAAAGCTTCTGTCTGTTAAATAACATCTAAACCATCAAAAGCAGTGACTCAACACAGCTCTCTAGTCTAGAGATTAGGATAACTGTCTCAGCACTTAGGTCTAAAAGCGTGAGAATCGCCCAAGTCGATAATTAATAAATGACCATTAAAAACTTTTAAAAGTGCTTGTGCTGTGCTATGATGTGGTTTGAAACCAGACTGAAATGTGACACTATTAGCTTTCAGAAAAGCCTAAAGCTAGTGGAAGACAACTTTCTATAGCACCTTAGAGAGAAAGAGCAATTTAGAGATCTATCTAAATTGTGCGTTCTGTGCGTTCACATTTGCAGTTTTGTCTTGTTATACAATATTTAAAATTTTAAAACAACAAACAAAACATTTTTGGAAATATTTGTGGGTGTTTTCTTGTTTGTTTGCTTTTTGTACCACTTGAACAGTGGCCCTCACAAGAGGTGACAGTGCCAGCAGTGGCTCACAACTCATTTAAGTTTGAGACACCAGTCAGTAAAACTGTGTGTAGGCTCTACATAAGAGCAATGCACAACACCACTGGTCTTTTGTCATGCAGTACATGCTACAGGGTATGATGATGGTTGAAAGGAACAAAACACACAACTCCAACCACATTCATCCAGAAATGCCTATACTATTATATATTGTACATATATTTATTAGTTTGAATGAATGTAGCCATTCTTGTATTTTGCTTGTTTACATTATTGTATTTGCACATCTCTGTTGCTTGTGAAGCTCGCACACAAGAATTTCACTCACATGTGCTGTACCAGTGTACCTGCACATGTGATGTGACAATAAAAGTGATTTGATTTGATTTGATTTGACATTCTGGAGTTGTGAGTTCATTTTAACATTACAGTGCTTCCTGTCAGAGGTGCATACCTGTATGTGAATGTGCAGATAACCATACATCACTAAGAAAAACTCTTAAAAATTTGTAAAACAAGTTGTAAACTTCAGCTTTATATATAGTTTCATTTTAATATGTTCCTTACCAACAATAACAAATCCTCCATCTACTTCCTTGTCTGGGGTTGACTTCTTTGAGTCCTTACGCAGTCCAAACAAGCTCCACATGATAAACCTGTGTAAAGAAAAACCCAAAAACAGAAGAAGCAATAGGTTAGATGAAGAGCCAGTGCATTATACGTTTCGCATTCATTCATTTTATCATGCTTACTGTCGAGAAAGCATAACAACAGACTGATTCACTCGAAGTTCAAATGTCAGTAAACAGAAACAGCAACCTTCAGGTTGTTATCTGAAGGTTAGTTTTGTAGAAGCTTCAGGGAACCCTTAGGAATGTTCTCAGGTTTTTACATAACCTGAGAAAAGTTTTAGGATTGTGCTTTAGTTTCTTGTGTGGTATGCAAATTCAAGTGATAAATGTAATAATGTCATGAAAAAATATACCCATGTCTTTGAATAACTCAGTTAACTGAGGAGACAGTTTCCCCCTTTTTCTTTGTTTGAAATCACTGAATTTGCTACTAGACATTAATCTAGTTACATTCACAGTAGGTATGTACATTTGTCTAGAAAGTCACACAAAATTGGATGTGCCAGGTCTGGAATTCCAACATGTGAGTTCACAGGCATTACCTTCAGAACAACAAGGGTAACATTTTAAGGGAAAACTGCTTAAATTTAACTATTTTTGGTGCTGCTAATTTAACAAGTTGATGATTCTGTCATGTGTTCCTTACTTTGTGTGTTTTGGTGCAGCCCTGAAGGTGTACCTATCTGTGACTTTTACCAGTGTGAGAGCAGCAGCACAGAATCCTTAATATTTGTTTAAAGATAAATGTCTCTCTGTTGGCACCTATGAATTCCAGCAAACAAATAGCACTACAGAGTACACTATTTGCACTTGTAAAAAAATGTATTCCTCATCCCAGCTTAATGGTCGCCTTCTTTTTTTTTGGCTGCTCCCTCTTTTAGGGATTTTAACAACAGATCATCTGCCCCTATCTCACTCTATACCCAGCATCCTCTGCTGTCACACCCATTCCAATGTTAAGAAACACAATTTTTCTTTTTCATTTAGCCTCTGAAACTGGATTCAAACTGAAAACCTTCAGTTGATCTACCTTTTAGGCTATACCTGTTACTTGTAGCTGTCCACCCTAACACAGCAGGCTTTAAAACTAGCTCTGATCCAAAAAGCAGAATCCATTCTTATTGGAATGCAACCAATATTGTTCTTTTTTTCTACTTTGAAGTCAAATGGTCTGCTATTGAAGAGGTCTGACTATGTATCCCATACATATCAGGTATATCACTGTTTACAGAAGATCTCAAGGAGCCGCGTGACAGGAAGAACACGAGATAGAAATGAGTCCTTCAGCAAGTCATCTAAAAATACTTCCTCATAAAGACATCTACTACACCACACCGTAACTTCGCCACGATATATGCATCCGGTTCTGTCATTCACTTATCGTTCTGCCATGCCTAGATGTTCTGCCACACAGAATATATCTTTCTACCCGCCTTTATATAATATATATAATTTATCAACATCCATTCTTTGACTTGAGCAGCCACACTGTGCTACTAAACCACTGTGTTGTTACACCATAACTATTATAGGCTGACATTTCATGTGATCAGTGCTGTGAATATCTGTTAGTGACAAATAAATTCATTAATAGAAATTACAGAAATATTGCACTTGCATTTGTTCAAAGTTTATGCTGGTTGAACTGCAGCAAACATTTAGAGAAGCAACCAGGAAAATATTAAACAAATATATTAAGAAATGATTTTATGCTGAAGAGTGAGTGCAGGTAACGTATTTCGGTTCTGGATCCCATCTTTGGGCCATTGTTTTGTCTCAATCCAGTTTATTTTTTTCCAGTCATTGTATTGGAACCACAAAAATAAAAATACATTATGCGTAGTGAACCACAGTATATTTCATTCGGTATCTCCAGTGTGTGGAATCCCATTTTGAAAGACGCATCTCTTTAACTTCACAGAAGTCTGCTAACGACTTGTGAAATGTGTATTCTGCTGAGATCTCACTACATATTTACAGTCTCGGTGCTCTACAGGACTATTGCCTGATATTATCAAGAATGGAGTTTCGCTAAAAAAAAAAAACGTTCACAGAACGTCCTTGTTTGTTGAGACTTCACATCTTTGTTCTGAAAACTGACGATAAACGTCAAATCCGTTCTACACATAATTTAGTCAAAGAGAAAGCCAAGGCGAACGACGTTGAATCACTTTAAACAAACGGGCGTATTTAAGGTTTTCATGGGCATATGAATGTAGAAATGCATCACAACTTATTAGTGATACATTTCTTTTAAAGTGACCCTGGTCGCTGTCTACCCTTCGGTCGTGTTTTGAGAGCCCAAACAACAGCCATGGCTCTATAGAAAGTGAAAATGGCACTCTTACTATCGTTACTTGTCGAATTCAGAAAGCCTTAATAAAGTCAGTTCTTGTTCCTTTAGTGTTTACTGCCAGTTATTGGTGCCACTCGTTTACTTCCTGTTCGTGTTACCTTCGCTCAGCATTACAAAAAATATCAGAATATTCTATCATATTTTCACCCTTTAGGATCACCCGAGTTATTATGACGGTGAATTCACTGACCTTAAAGCGGTCCTTGTCCACGTAGAAATTATCAGTGTTCTTTTTTTGTAAAATTCGTGCTGTCAGCAATATGTAGCGGAATGATTCGTTGTCGTTTCCGCGGAAGAAAATGTTAGAGCACAACGGATATGGCTTGGAAAAATGAGAGGCGCTTGTTTTGTATTCCCCTTTGGCCGTAATTTCAAGTGCCGCGTTTTTTCATGTAATCTGGGTAAGCCGCCCGCCTGAGCTGCGCCTTTGTACTAAAGGTCAGGACTACGCGTTTCCCGCGCTGTGTTGCGCTGTCGAAGGTCCAGGAACGTGAAAGAAGCTAACTGTAAAGATGGCAAGTCTACTGGACGCTTCTAAACCAAGAATAAACTGCTCTATGCTGTCACAGCACATTGGCAGAGGTGTCTGCTTCGTTGGGCGCGTTGAAAAGGTGGGTTTTGGCTGGTGCTAGTTAAACTATTTTTAACAATTATAAATATGGATTAACCTACACCTGCATATATGCACTGGCCCACTCTGTTAACAGCAAGGACATAAAGTATTAGTTTTGCTTTTCTTGACCAGGTTCACCCAACAGGAAAAACGTTCAGTGTGTCTGATGGAGAAGGAAAGAGCGCTACGGTAGAATTGAACGAACCTGTGAGTACTGCCATAATTTATGGCATCAGTTTGCCTACACGTTTCAGGGTGAGCGGTGCTGGTGGTACGAAGTATGTGGTACAACTGGTCTGTGGACCACTCTTGTTTGCTTGTACCGTTGTTGTTGGTCATATTCTCCGCGTAGGAGCTTCGCTCGCCGCCGCATCGTCATCACACAGTCACTTCTATTTATGCCTGCCCGCACAGGGAGTCGCTGCAGTATTCTGAACGACGTGTCGGATAAGCTCAACTATACAGCTGTGACTGTAATTATGAGGGGAGATTTCAGTGTTAATGATCAATTCCTAGATAGATTTCCTCCCAAATACAGCACTCATAACTTTATTCTGTCATAGTTATGTAGTTAGTCACAGTATGTTTCTTTCCGTGGTCAACACTACACATTTAATCAGTGATGGGAATAAGAGCGTGGGGAACATCACAAGCCTGATACCTGCAAGCTTGCCCATATGGAAAAAATATATATAAATCTTATAAAGTTTGTATCTGTCTTGTGTGAAACTTGTATGAAAAGCATACAAGAGTGAAAACAGATATAAGATCCCTTGAAAAATTATATAATGAAACTTGTATGTTTTGTATACTTACTAAAACAATATATGAAAGTAATGAGAAAGTGGCCACTTTCATGAGTAAATCATAAGTTTTTACTATTTCTTTTCCATATGGGCCTTTATCTTATAGTGGACAGAAATTATATTTTGAAGAGGCACCAATAATTTATGTCCCATCTTATTTGATGCAGAATACCTGATTGTTCTGAATAGTTTGAAATGGTTGTTAGAAAAATGCATTGGCTGCATTTTTAGGTAAATAGCTGCATTTAACTTTGTTGTTTGCAAAAACTGTGCATAGGTTTTTAAAATGTACAATTTCTGTTTGCATTTCAAGTTATGAAAATGATTTGTTAAACAGTAAAAAAACGTAACTCTTCTACTCGGATTTTATGTTTTTAAGTCTGATTTTTAGATTATTGTGCTAATACAGAATGCCAAAATGGAAAAACTAACTGTAAATTCAGACATGTGAGGTTGTGCTGAAAAGAATGATACCAAACAAGCCAAGATAAACAGTTTTTAAAGGTGAAATTTAGAGGTAAATGAAAAGTAGTCAGAAACAGCCAATTATACCCTGGACCCCACAGGGTTAAACTTTTTTTTTTAAAGTAATGCTATAGTTACTTTACCAAGTAATTAGTTACTTTTAGAATATAGTAACTGAGTTACTAATTCACTTACTTTTTTAAAGAAGTAACTATTACTAATTACCTTTGCAAAGTAACTTGCCCAACACTGCATTTAACAAAGAGCATATCAATAAAAAAAAAGCAAGAATTCACGAGACAAAATAAAAGAACTGAAATTAAAAAGGGTGCTCTTTTGTGCTTATAACATATAAAAATTGAAACAAACAAACAAATCAGTTAAGATACATCAAGCATATTCGATATATCCGCCCACCCGTAGTTGGTTGCAGTTGATAGACTCACATTAGTTTATGTTAGCTAACTAATAAGAGAACAGTGGAGTCAAGGAGACTAAAACAAAAAACAGTCTACAGGGGTCAGTGTGGGCTGCCCATGGCTGCAACAATGAGTTTTCTGTTAAGAAACCTACTCTAGCAGGGGAAAGAAGTATGTCCTATTTCAGGCAAGAATGAAATTCAATTAGAGCATTAAGGATTAAGGATTACTGGACAAATGAGTACAGACCAAGCCTTGATTGCTAAAGATGTAGCTTTGCTTTATTATATTAATCTGCCTACATCTATATTGTTTTAAAAGTATATTAAAATATAAATAAATTTAACTGAATTGAAAGTCTTGAGCAGAGATTGTTGACTTTCAATAAACACAGGGGGGATTAAAATATTAATGCAAAATGAAGGTGGAGTGTTGGCAAAATGGCTGGTTTAAAATTTCATTCAGAAACTTTCAATAACTATTTGGTTCTTTTCTTAGCTTGAAGAAGAGCTGAGTGGCATTGTGGAGGTCATTGGTATGGTGTCCAGCAAAGGAGTAATAACCACCACCACATACAACATCCTACGAGAGGACAAAGGCATTCCCTTTGGTACGTCTCTCTAGACTGATTGAGTAAAGTTTTGTTCCTGATCTGTGACTCACAGTGTGCTGTGTCTGCTTATCCCACAGATTTGGAGCTGTATAATGAAGCCCTGAAGGTCATTCACGACTTTCCTCAGTACTACCCGTTTGAAGTGGCTGCAAGTGGATGAAGATTGGCTTCATTGTTTTTGTGTCTCATTTTACATGTTGGAGAGAATAGTGTGGTACAAAATATTTGCATTAAAATGAAAACCTTTGTTAATCACATGTCACTGAAGGTTCTTTTTTTATGATAAACTGTAAAATAAGTGGGTAATACTTTATGTACTCAAATATAAACAAATTTAAAAGACACAATAGAGTGACAGCAACAGCAGAATTTCATGTCCACAGTGGCACAGACTGGAATTTACAGCACTGACACTTGAATGGGAAGTGTTCAGCTGGCTAATTTTACTCTTGTCAGTTTCAGCTAGTTTCACATTATGTTTAGCTGAGCTTTCAAACCAATCGGAGAGTAGAATGCGTTACACTTCATAATTCATTTGTAATACATTTTCTTGGCAGCACAAGAACTAAGAGTCATAAAAAGGTTAAATGTAGAGACAAAATATAGAAGCTGAATGGCTTAACCAGGGGTCAGCAACCTTTAACACCCAAAGAGCCATTTGGAGCCAGTTTCCACGCAAAAGAAAACACTGGGAGCCGCAAATACTTTCTGACATCTAAAATGAAGATAACACTGTATATATTGTTTTTTACATTTATGCTTTGTGTGAACAACTAAGGTGTGCTGCTTATGAAATCCATGAAGTGCTACAGAGAAAATGACATTTTATTTATGTAATTAACACATTTTGAACTGAAAGAAATATAACAAAAGGAAAGCTGAACTAAAATGATCCAGCAAACAAAAACTGTTGTGAGCCGCCACCCTTATATCGGCTTTTGGAGCCTTGACCTGACTTTTAAAAAATAATTGAAGAAAAAAACATTCTGCCTAAAAATGTATTTTACCTGGTTAATGTGTGTGGCGGGGCGTGGTCTGAAGCGCCGCTGCAGGGGAGGCGACGCACCTGAGCTGCACCCGCAATCACGCCTCGTCGCCTTAACGTCTGTGCTGTCTCTGCTGTTGTGTTGGTGTGTGTCGGGCTGTGAGCTGAAAAGCTACAGCCGGCTGTATGCGTACAGCAACCGTGTGTGAAAAGTGGTCACTAAAGAGATGCTGAAAAGCGTGTTCATGGAAACATCGTCGGGCCTGCCGTGATATGTTTACAATGGGACTTCTGCTCCTGAACCTCTGCGCACAGCGTCTGCAAATCGGGGCTGTACGAAGTCACTTCATCTTTACGCAGGACTGTAAGCTGTCATCTGTGAGGCGTGAGCGGTGTTTGTTTTTAACATAGTTCACGGTGAAGAACAGCTGCTGACGTAATGTGGATCCGAAGATCCATAACTGGCCTACCTGGGGTTGAAAGTCTCGATAAAGGCACGCCGTTTCGGCGGATACACCGGCTTCCGCGAGTGTGACGCTTATTTTGAGCGATGAAAAAATAATAGAATATAATTTTATTTTTATATTTCAATATCACAGTAATCTTCCAGTTTAGAACTACAAGTTAAAAAAAACAGAACTAACATAAATAAAATACAGCCAATTACTTCTAATTTATTATCCCAAACCACGCGGAACCGCAGTATAAGGACTAAGGAGCCGCAGGTTGCCGACCCCTGGGCTTAACAAACCCAGTTGCTAACAGGAAAAGAAATTGCGTCGAGGTAATTGTATTGGAAAGGAGTGGAATAGCCATTTTAAATGTTTTGCTGCTGCGATACATTTAGTCTCAGTTTTAGCAAAGTTCTGTATTGCTCTACATTCCTTATTACTAAAATTACTGTTGTAACAAATTTCCAAAGCTAGGCTAGGATAAATAAAATATTTTTTTGCCTTCTTTCTACACTCTCCCCCCCCCCCCCCCCCCCCCCCCCCCCAACAGCAGCCAAAAACAGTAAACACTTCTGTTATGAGCGTACTTGGCAGCAGAGGACAGTATAATCAGAGAATTTACCCTGAACAGAGAAGTGTTACAGAGGCATGGGCCAAAAGTACCTAAAAATAACGGGTTCTGTTATGTTGAAAAATATTTTTTGGGTGCAACAAATGATGGGAGCATAGAAGCTAAAGTGAAGACCTGTAATATGAACACATATTGGTTGTTTGGTTCCAGAACAACTGTTCTCTGAACAGTTCTAATAATAATGGATTGCATTTATAGTGCTTTTCGAGGCCCTCAAAGCGCTTTACAATTCCACTATTCATTCACTCACATTCACACACTGGTGAAGGCAAACCACAGTCGTAGCCACAGCTGCCCTGGGGCAGACTGACAGAAGCGAGGCTGCCATATCGCGCCATCGGCCCCGATTTGACAGCAAGTAAGATCAGTATTAAAGCAAGTAGGCCAGTTTAAACAGGTAGGTTTTGAGCTGTGACTTAAAAAGGAAATCTATATTTCTATCTATATTTATATAAGAGTGTGTATATATATATATATATATATATATATATATATATATATCCCCGCTCACCCCTGTGGGCGGTCAATCCTTCAAGCTCAGGTCCTGTACCAGAGACCTGGGAGCTTCAGGGTATATATTTATATATATAAATATATATTTCTTAAGACTGAAGGAAGTGAGTTTCAGAGCCGAGGAGCAGAGTGACAGAAAGCTCTGTTCCCCACAGTGATGACACGAGCAGAAGGAACAACAAGATGAGTGACAGACGAAGATCTGTGAGAGCAGGAAACAGTGGTGATATGAAGCAGATCACAGAGATGAGGGGTAAGGTTATGGATGCACTTACATATGAGATGTAAGATTTTAAAGTTTATCCTTGCTTCTATGGGCAACCAGTGAAGCTATTGAAGAAATGGGATAATATGGTCTCTTAAGGGAGTACGAGTTATGACCCGAGCTGCAGAATTCTGAAGAAGTTGAATTTTATGGAGGGACTTATTGGGGAGACCAAATAAGAGGGAGTTGCAATAATCGATCTGGGAAGTAATAAGACTATGGATGAGGATGGCAGCAGCATGGGGAGTAAGGAAGGGACGAAGTCGGTTAATGTTACGTAAGTGATAGTATGCAGAAAGGGTTATGTAATTGATGTGAGACTGAAATGAGAGAGTACTGTCAAGTATGACACCCAAACTCAAACCCGTAAGTATTTGGACAGCGATTCAGATTTTTGTAGTTTTGACAATCAAGTGAAAATTGGTTAAAATGTGGTTGAAAGGTTTAAATGGTGATCACAGGAAGGATGCTAGAAACACGTTTTTCTTCCACTCAGCCTGAGCTCACATCTCTGCAACGGCTCCTCCTCTTTGCTGCGTGTAAACAGACTCCAGCTCCATGTTAAACTGCCAGAGTCATCATCACTGCTGCTGTTGTGTTATTAATGTTTTTGTTTAAAACTGGCAGCTGCTTTCTGTTCACACGCTTTTGGGTCAGGTGGGGGGGGAGGATGCTGGACAGACATGGCACACCCAAATGTATTGTGAGGGTGCTGGGAATGCCTAGCAGAGGCCCCAGTTCAGGAAATCTTCAACTCCCACCTCCGAAAGAAGTTCAACAGGGAGGGAGTGAGGGAGGCTTAGGACATTGAGTCAGAATGGACAATGTTTTGCACCTCCATACCTGTTAATCTACGTCCCTACCCAGACCTATGGGCATATGCTTTGGGTAGTGATCGAAAGAACAAGACTGCGGATACAAGCAGCAGAAATGTTCCTTCACCTGGGGGTGGGTGGCTTCTGGCTGGCTCAGAGTAGAGCTGCTGCACGTCCACGTCAAAAAGAGCCAGTTGGGGTGGGCACCTCCCAGGTGAGGTTTTCCAGGCATGTTCCACCGGGAGGAGGCCCCAGAGACCCAGGACAAACTGGAGTTCCCCTGGGTAAAGTGGAGCAGGTGGCTGGGGACAGGGGGTCTGGATTCTTTGCTTAGGCTGCTCTCCTTGTGACCTGGCTACAGATAAGTGGAAGAAAATGGATGGATGGAATTATTGTTTGTTTGTATTAAATTTGCAATATTGTTTTGGCAACAGTGTATTAATGCAGCTTGATTGTCATTCTTTTTTCCTTGTTTTTTGTTTTTTCCTTTTCTGGAAATGATCATGGGAAGCTGCAATAATGCTCCCCAGGAGCCAGAGGCAGACAGATCCAGGAGATCCGGGTCATCCGCAGCCCCCAGGACTACTGAAAACATAACAGTACATCTCAGCAACAACTGCACATCTAATCCCAGCAGGAAAATGAGGGAGGGCACCCACGGCCAAATTGTGTGAGAGAGATAACAAGGAGCCGACCAGAGCCAGCCGCCCTGGCACAACCTGAGAACAGGGCACTAGGTGCTCAAATAACCAGCCAGCGTCCAGCAGCACCCAAACCACCAGTGGACCTTCGTCCCGGGCAGGGTGTATGAAACAGGGATGCAGGAAGACACCCCCCCCCCCCCCCCCCCACGTCACTCATTGTTGAAAGTGATATCTTGAGTGGGTCTGTTGGTGAGTGTGAGTGTATAAAGTGTACTGGATGAGTATGACAGTGTGCTATTAAAGTTGGGAGGGAGGGGTCGTTGACATGAGATGTGTCGCAGTAAATGTGTTGTTTGAGACTTTACTTGTAACTTAACAATAAACACTTTTTATATTGATCGTATCAAATACAGAGTTATGGGAAACTTAAACTTAGTTTCAAAATAATTAAATATGACTCTTGGTTTAAGGTTATTGCTGTTTTAAATTGTGTAACATATAAATAGAAGATTTTAATTAGATAAAATAGTGGTGCTATACATGGTCCAAAACTGGGCTGATTTAACTGCATCATAAGAAGTGTTTTTACTAATTTTTTAAATCATACTTACAGTGTTCATATTGATTAAGTGTTGTACTAGAAGTCTCTTGAGTTCAAAGTTAATAAAATGTAAAATGATTAAGTTGCATTCAATTTGTATCAAGCAAATGTAAAAGTCTTGATGTCTTGATGCATGATCGATCATCCAGTAAATCCCAAAGGTTGATTCTGTTCATCTGGACGTTTTCAGTGGGAGAAACATTTCGTCACTCATCCAAGTGACATCTTCAGAATATTACGTAACTGCAAATTATGGGTTTTTTTTATTTAGTTGAACTTCAAACCCATAAATCATGTTATTCCTAGTATTGTGTATTCGCTAAGGGCTAAGTCTGATTTGCTCAATTAAAG